TACACCTAAGTCACTAGTGAGGATTTTTGAGACTGATCATCTAATCAGTAAGTTCACAAGAAAATTTTAGTAAAATTTTAAACTATTATTTTAATTTATTTTAAAATGGATGGAATTTCCAAACAAGTTCGTTGCGAGTAGCGTGTGCAACATTTATCCTATTACTACTTAAATAAGCTTAGATAAAACAATTATAGACGGGCAACCAAACACCACAATTTTGCCAAAGAAAGTATGAGCAAGTATGTGTCCGAGCCTTAATGAAAAAGTTAAAGCCTTTTAAGTTAGTTTAGTAAAGAGTCATGTGCTTAGGATGTACGCCATTAAGTTTCAGTTTGAACGGAATAAGTCTAACTAATTTCAGCATGCTAAAGCCTTCTTGCTTAAAGCGATATTCTGGAGGGTGGTGGCTCATAATTGCGGCACTTAGTTAACTTTTTGTACTGTTACAATTATTTGAACAGTTCACACTCTAAGTTTCTGGCATACTAGCTTTCCCCTAGGCCATACTGAAGGGTAAATGGAGTAAAGTGTGAAGTATTTTTTCTTGGCTAGACTACTGCTGATGCTCTATTAAACTCCTTTTCGATGACAAATCAAAAGTGTCCTCTTGGAATCTTCAAGCGACTGGAAATGCCTCATTAATGCGAGACCACTGACAAGAAATGATTGTATACCACACCAGTAAACAGATCTAACCCAGCTAAAATTTCCTTTTTCTCCCGGTTTCAACTTTTTCCTGCTGCATTAGTTGCCTGGCGACCAAACTAGAATCAATGAGAGAAGAAGAAAAATTTGTATGCCAACCGGACTTTGCATGCCACTTCTGAAGTGTCTACAATACCTTGGTGCACATTTCCTACAACCTGTGTACACTTTCATAAATTCACACATTTGAAAGCCATTTGCAGTCCACTTTGTGCTATGAATAACTGTTAGTTGGAATATGAGGAAAATTGTGCGCCTTTGAAGCAGTAAGTTCCTTTCTCGACGGAGGCGTTCTCCATGACCTCTTATCACTTGAACAGCAAAGGGCGCTACTGGTTCACCTGCAGTCTAATTATTTTTAAAAACGCCGTGACTCAGGGAAATGGTCAAATTTTATCCTACTATGCATATTTTAGACATCCATCTGAGTGCTGCTAATGCAAGGGAAGGCTCGAGGGAGTGGATAGGCTCAAAAGGAAGAAGTATGCTAAAACAAAAGCCTTTTTATTCGCTAAGTTTTCTTTGGCATTGTTGATTTCTAACTGTAAAGTGCAACTCATCAGTCGCAATGTCACTTCCTTTGACAATAATACAAATGGACCTTACTCTCCCATGTAAATAACGAATCTTACGCAACATGAACCGGAAAAGCATCCTTGTCCTTTGCGGTGTGGAAGAAATTACGAGGACCAAGAATAACATCAAGACAGAACATGAAATATTAATGCAGACCTGCCCGAATCGACCTGAATGTTTAAGATTTGAAAATTGTAATGACGCATGTGGAAATAGATTGTCTAGGATTCCAGACCGATCATCAAGACATCCAAAATACAGAACTTTTAACTGCCAGTACGTGTGTCGCCATCTCTTTGCCATAACTGGTCGCACTTGATCAGGTTAATCAGATTTGGGACAACAAGGTAAGCGCATAATATTCATAGACCTAAAGAGCACAATTCTGCTTTGGCATATTTTGCATTTTTTTGTGGAAATTCACTTAGTTTCTGGGTCATACCCGTGTTAAAAGGAACGCAAATTCTCCTTCCACATTTTGACATAGTGAGAAAGCATTCTTACAATAAGTAAGTCGCTTGCATCTCAAGGGAGCTTAATGGCAGAAATCGCGCCAAGAGAGAAAGGAGCTTAGGGATTATTGCTTCGAAGCAGGCAATATTAGCAATAAATTCCACTTTAAATGTTTCCTGAAGTTGAGCTGTTAAATAGATGTATAAGTGATATGTATCAAACGTATTTAAAGTGTTCAAATCAGGGTTAACCAACAATTTAGACTTAATTCACTACAATCAGAGCAACCTCATTGCAGTGGCCTTCCCGTTCTTGTGTTCCAGAAATCGACACATGCTTACCGTTACCAAACTTTCCAGAACCATTTCCCTTTCATTACTCCCACCACTATTATGCTGCGAAGAAGCTTTGAGTGTATTGCTGTCCACAATGCGTCCAAAGCCAATCCAACTGCTCCAACTGCGGAGAATGAAACCACCTCCATGCACCTCCCAGCTTACATACTCCTTTTGACAAATCAAAACTTTCTTACTGCAGTCTTGGCTTCCCGACTACCCTACTTGAGACCTCGATGGTGGTCGTGCTCACGACCACAAGTACTTTTTTGTTTTTGTGGTGGGCTCTTTTGCATGTGGCGTTGCGGGTTGCTTTGCATTTTAATTATTCTTCGGAAAAAAATTTGCCAGTGCGGCGTGTGATTTCCATATCTAACTGTTGCTACTTGCATTGAAGGCCTGGCTCAGTTTTATGGCGCTCTTTACTGTCGCCATCCATTCCTTCTGCGGACAAATGAGAAACACTGCCCATATGACAGGCGGGCAAATTTTAACTAAAGTAAGGCGAAATTCCAGCGTCTTTAAGGTATTATTAAAATCAAACGATCGAGAAGGAGGGTATTGGTAGTAAATGACTGAAAGTGGGCAAAATCTCAATAGCAGGGCCAACTGAGCGATTACCAAACTCCAACACAGCTATTTGACCACTAAACAACAAAGAAAGCTCTGCAAAAAACAAGCTTAACGCATCCACTGTGGAGTTGACTGCATCATTTGCAATTCACTTCTTGTTCTTGGGGCTGAACAGAACAGAGGTAGACGACTTAAATGCACTAAAATTATAATGTAAGCGCAGTTGTTTTTCCTGTATCCTTGCAATTTGCAGAGAGGTTTCGTATACGCTTCAGAATTATGTAGATAATAAAAGAAATGTGCTTGTTGCTGAGACAGGTCCGTGGCTCAGCAGAACAAAGCCAGTGAAACACCACGGCTCCATTAACAGGGTCAATTGTATTTTCACCCAACTATACAACGGATTCTTATATTGATGGAAAGGCGGTTCTTAAAACTGAATGCAATGTGATGGCCACTAGGAGAGGCTGATCACAGGAGGTATCAATGGCAGTGCTTAAAATAAGATGGCGGTTGGGTAGAGCGACTACCTCAAGCCGCTATTTCGGTGTCACGGATTCATTTTTGCCTTTGATCTAGCTGACAGCTCCACAGCTCTTCATTACATTGGGAGTTAGGTTGTATCCGAACGCTTGACCCTGATGGTAAGCACGTGAATTCACTTAAGAGAGCAACAAAAAGTGTTGCAAGAATGGCACTTTCTTTTTATAACTAAGCATTTGAAGCCAACCAGTAAAGAGGCAAGTCTCGTCAAAATGGAACGCATGAAGATGTATGCTAGAAAGAACATCATTTGTTGCGTACAGCATAGCGCACTGAAATGACAAAAGTGGAGCAAAGAAAAGGAGCAGACACTCCTGGAATATCCCCTATTGGGATTGCAGATAAAAAGGAGTTTTGCTATAACAAATGCAGCATGTTTGTTTAAATGCGCCTTTAGTCGAGAAAAGGGAAGTGGATACAAATCTCGTGACAGCACGGCCGCCATCGGCCTCTGAGGTGGCAGCGAACTTTGAACAGCAAATTACCTATACACAGTGGTGTTGATTTTGGAAGTTAAAGTGTGAACAGGTAGAGGTGAATGCTCATAAAATCTTCGTAGTGAAGAGATATCCCCGCCTGGTATCGCGACTTAATCCACCAAGCGACGCAATCCTGCTGTTGTTTGATCAGTGACCGGAAAATGACCTCACACTCCTTTCACTCACATCCACGTCTCTGTAGCACCTTTTACTTATTCATGGGACTAATTCAAAACCTTGTATATTAAGGGAAAAGAAAGAAACAGCAACGAGTAACAAATAGCACAACCCCAAACTACTTGTGATTTTGCATTTAAGTAGCACGTGCATCGGCAAATCCTTAATTCTTACATTTTGAATAAATGACACGTCTTCACTTGGTGTAACTGTACTACGGGTGGTTAGGGGTTATACCATTTGTAACATCCAACTTTAAGCGGTCTGCGTTTTGCTGAAGTCCGATGACACAGCGGTCCACTTACCAGTAGCTACACAAAAAAATAAACTTTTCAGTTAGTCGGTCATTGCCTTAGTCGGAATAGCAAATTGCATCCCCTCACAGAGCTAAACTATTTCTCGCAATAACCCTGAAGCATATTCCTATTTAGAGCTGAAATATTTAATTGAAATTTTGAGCACTGAGGATACAACCAATGCAAGTAAAGACACCTACACTAGTAGGTGTGCGCATTCAAGGTAGAGGTGTTAATTTTACCGAAGAACGACAGATGAGAATCAGACGAGAATTTTAAATCCAAAGAGATATCCGTGGTTGCAGTACACACAATGTTCTGCTGAGAGTACAACCACTGACCGGCACATGTGCCTCGGGTCAGTCCAGTCCAGACACGTCTGATCAAGGTGGCAAGTAGTAGATGTTAATGTAAGCGTGTTTGTTTAAGATGGGTGGGTCGTGGAAACTGAGACGTAAAACCCGAAAGTGTGGTCGCCTGTTGAGGACTTTGTAGACAGGAGGGCATAGGGGCGATGTACTCAGTCACACAAGGCATTTGAATTGTGCCAGCGTACTGTCAACTGCCCATCCAAAAGGATCGCGGGCTTGGAGACTTCCTTCCCAACCCGAACTCCAGGGGTATATCCCCGTCGCAGGTGGACCGGCAGGTGGAACGTGGAGACTAAAGCGCTCCAACTCGGTGCAGGAGGCAAAGACGAGAATTAAAAGACGATCTTTCACCCAGAAAGTCTTTCATATTCTTGTTAGTAAAAGGGAATTTTTACTCTACTTCTACCAGGTGTCAAATATCAAAATACATTACTGTGAACAGATCCTGGGGATCGCAAGTGAAATGGTGAAAGAAAACTGTACTTGGTTTCAAAATATTTTAATAATACAACTTTCAGAACAGGCGTATAATGACACACAAATTAATTCCTCTCGTCCCTGACAAGTATATTTTGATTTTGAACAATTTATTCTCAAAAGACCCTTAAAATTCGTTTGAAGCACCTACTTAAATCTTTTGGCAAAAGTTGGCGAACCCTTTTGTTGAAAGACCGTGGCGTAACATGGCAATTAGCCCGCCAAGTGCCCTAAAACGCCACCACCGATTCAAACAATGTGTCTTTTCAAATAGTGGCTAATTAACTGAACCCTTCAGTTAAAGTGATGTAGCAACGGTCATTCCAAAGAATGCGCTATCGAAAGTTACTTTTTACGTTCCTTTTAAAAAGCAAATGGACGTATCCAGGTATAGAAATCCTCTGAAAATCTGTTGATTTAATTTAACTATACCATGGAAAATGAAAGGAAATTCAAGATGAGAGAAAGTCTGTTTCGAATGTGGAATGTAAGTGTAAGTGATTGCAATCAAGCAGCCAAATTTTTTATCAAGTCTCTTTTTCCACCCTCATGGTCCCTTAACAAAATTGTCTATAGGCTTAATTATTAGTAGTAGTTTTTGGAAAAAGCAATGCTGGCGGAGCCAAAACCATACCTTTGATTATCTTGTCTGATTCATTTTTACTTTTACTTCACCAGCGTGTAGTAAACAACACTAATGACTGTGTAGAAAAAGAAGAATTTTTCTTTCAGACCAGATTTTGCATGCCGCTTCTAAAGTGTCCACAATGTCTTGACGGACATTCTCTACAATCCAAGCGAACTCTAGTAAATTTGCACAGGTGAAAGCCATTTGCATTTCGCTCTTGGCTGGATATACCTACCAGTTTTAATATGGAGAAAGTTGTGTACATTTGAAACAATGATTTCCCTTCCCTACGGAGTGGTTTCTCTAACACTCTCATTACTTGAACATCAAAAGCCGTCACTCGTTCACTCACAGTCGTATTATTTTTAAAATCACGACTATACAGGATAGTATCCAAATCTTACCCTGTCACACATAAATTCAGATTTCCATAAAAAGGAAGGGCTCCAAGGGTGGGTAAGTCCAAAAGAATAAAAATTGCTAAGACCGAAGTTTTTTTGTCATAAGTCTTCTACGACGATATTGTTTCCTGAACATAAAATATGGCTTATGTGCAGTAGTTGTGACAAAAATAGCTAATGCCAGCATTTCTCACATCAAGACTCTTCTTTTTTTGGAAATAATAAAATTAAATTGCATCTTTTTTTCGTAGATGTCAGGTCTTACACGAGTAGAGCCGGAAAGGAAATTTTCCCATCCATACGATGTAAAAGCAGTTGTGAAGATAAGGAACAACATTTAGATAGGCCATGGAAGATCGGTGAGGACCTTCAAGAATCAACTTTGATTTTTAAGATCTGGAAGTCATAGGAAGGTATGTGCAATTAGATTGTCCAGGATGGAGGCATCAGTCACTACGAGGGGTCATCCTTATGAATAGCAGGTTGCTTACACATTTGGACTGTTTAAAGACAAAGTGCTGCTAAACGGAAGGAGGAATTTGGATAGTTTTGTTTGAAAACAGACATTAATAATAACAAACTCCACTTGAAATGATACTTTAGGTTTTGCTAATTAAACCGCAATACTTGAAAGCGGTTACTTTAAGTCAAGCTTTGTGCACCAAAAAATCGTAGTTAACTAACAAATTTTGCATAGCTTCTACTGTATCGCTGCATCCTCATAGCAATAAAGTTCCAGTTTCGACGGTCCAGAATTTGTCATATTTTACTCCTCGCAAATGTTCCAGAACCATCACCCTCTCAGCGCCATCATTACTTTTTCCAAGTGGCCATTATGAGGCGGAAGAACTTAAAGTATTCTACTATTCACAATGCAGCCGAAGCCAATCGAAGTACTCCAGAGAGGAGAGATTGAAACCACTTCGCTACCTCTCTATGCGTCACTCAAGCACGTACCTGCCGTACCACCAGCTTACTTACTCTTGTCGACACATCACGACTTCCATATTGGAGTCTTGGCCTCTTGACTACCCTGGTTTGGACCTCAATAATGTCCATGTTCATGGCCATAAACGGCTCAAAACCTGAACACGAAGGTATACTTCCATGACATACCTTTTTAAGTGCTCTTTTGTTGGAAGCGGAGTGGATCACCCTTTTTAATTAAGCTTAGAAAACACATTCGACAGTACTGCGACAATCCTCCCATCTAACGTTTGTCACCTGCGTTGGAGACTTGTCTCACTGTTACAGGGTTTTTCTGTGGATAGATAAAAACGCTGCCCACATAGCTGAAGGGTACTGCATTTTTTGGCAACAGTAGGCAAATCAAATCCCAACAGAGAGAAATTTTGGTGTCTTTAACTGGATGCTAAAAGCAAGCAGTAATGCTGTGAATAAGCGCAAAAAACCAGCCGGTACCGAAGCGAGTTAAGACAAAACTGAAGGCATGAAGAAAGATACAAAAGAACACAATTTTTTGTAAGTAGCATAGTGCTCAAAGGAGTAAACCATGATTTGCAAATATGATGGATGGATTACGTTATAGGATGGAGGGAGAGTGCATAAAATGGTTGTCTCGTATTCATTTGAATGTGCACAGTGTAAAGTCACATAAACCGTCTTCTGGCCACACATTCAGAGCTTCAAACAAGTCCCGTATGCTCTCATTGTAAAGCAAATAACCGTGCGAAAAAATTAATTGTAGCTAGTTGATGAAAGCTTGACACGCAGATGGCTGAATTACTGACAGCTCCACCCGCGGGATTTTGCATACCTAATTGGGAATGTAAAATTAACACCACACTACAAAAAGGGAAAAAAATGTTATGTAGGGCAAAGAAATGAAGCTGGCATGACAAAGTAGTGATTGGCTGTCCCGTCCATATCCTTTACGGGTGTCAGTAGGCAGTGCACATGGCCTCAACACAGTGTGCAATGGAGACCGAGAGGGAGAGAGGGAGATGAAGTACAAATTTGGGTGCATGATGTTATTCATACTGACGGAGGCACAAGGCAGATCAACAAGGCGACATTCACAGACTTCAACTGCCCAACTCAACGAATGCAGGCACATTTGACTGCTATCTTGCATTCATTCGAATGGGTGCAGTGTGAAATCACACAAAGCGTCTTCCGACTACACTTTCAGGCTTTTTAACACATCTTAATGCATTTATTTTGAAAAAAACCGACTGTGTGGAAAAATTCACCAGTGGTTAGTTGATGGAAGCTTGACAGGCTGATTGACAGACTAACGGCCAATCCACCTGCAAGGCATTGCTTGTGGATTAAAAATTGGGCAGCACACTACAAATTGGAACAGTTTATTTTGTAGCAAAAAGAGGTGAATTTGGCATGACAAAATGACAGTTGTGTTTGACTGTCGTGCACATATCCATTACGTGGGCTACTGGGCAGCGTACATGATGTGGGTCGGATGGCTATTTGGTCCGCCGTCCAAATAAGGTTAGTCAAAACAGCAACAAACAATGCTGTTGGGTGCACTTTTATCCAAATGGAAGACTTCCAATCCGGTTTGTACTCATTTGCAGGTAGACGCCTAACCGATGCACAACATTCAAAGACGAGCGATTCTTCGTAACCCAGGGACAACCATGACAGCACTGGGTAGGCATTCAGCCAACGCACTTGGCAGCCATTCCGTTGGGAAGATATTCAGCTTGATGGAAGCAGAAACTTTTGCAATCAAGCAAGTGGCTAATCTCCTTTCTCTAAAAATTGCATGCACAGATATTTGCAAAATAATTCACTTTGCTGGAAAACTGTTGCTCATTTGCACAAGACTGCTTTCCGATGTAGCAATGGATAGGGATGATGAATCATTTCGACAACAAAAGTCAGGATTTCACAGTTCCAAAGTACTCATGTCATGATTTCACCTTTGTATCAAAATGAAGATCCGAGCATTGAAGGAATGCGGAATGGGTGAAGATGATAAAATAAGCTGGGAGTTTTGAATGATTTGACCGTTCCACCAGGTCTTTGTAGTTGGCGTTTTGGAATCTGGATAGCCGCCACCAAAATTGACATTACAATCCTTTTTCCTTGAATTTTGTGTTTTTCTTTTAACAACTTAAAGTTTAGCCTGGCCTGAACTTTTAAGGGAGGGAGAAATAACCCAGTATTTTTACCTACTCCGATTCCGTCTATCCATTGACAATGAAAGAGACCTTAGAAGTAGCATAAATACAAAGTCCTTTTATGTGTTTTCTTTTCATATCTTCTGCAATTAAGTGCTATTTTTAAGTGTCTTTGCTACTTACTTCCTCAAATATCTGTTGTGAGTAGTATGTACGACCTTACTGTCCTTTGCTATTAAGTACCAGCAATCATTATTAGCATCAATCCAGTTTGCAGGAAAGGAAGGGGCTACTCAGAAGGCATCTTACCTTAACCAGCAAGGATTAATGCCGCTTCCATATTTTACATGTCGTCCTCCAGCTTCAAATTACCATTTGGTTAAACGAACATAGTGGATGGAAATTTAACGGTAGGACTAGTTTTTAGTGCATTACATACTTTACCAGACCTTGGAAGTCAAATTTTCTGCTTTCACAAGCTAAACGTAGACAAGATGGATTAGCCTTTTTAATGTTCCTAAAGCAGGAACGATAATATAAACCTATTCGATGAATATATAAAGCCTTGATTAAATTATAACAATGAAATAATGCAGAAATGGATATTAGGGACTGACTACCACTAGAGCAGCAAAGACGCAGAATAAGGAAGGGAAAAACGACTTTTACTTTTTGTTAAATTTGGGTGACTGGAGTACGCCAAAGGGCAACTCCTCTTTGAGAATTTCCAATGTCATGGCAAACTTAATTATCTGTCAATCCGATCATCCTGATTCAGTTCATTTAGGCAAAAGATGAGGTGTAATTAACCGAAACTCATTGCTTCAGCCTGGAGTGAAGTCCTTTCCGCTGCCACATCGATTCCTTATTTCAAGAGATCAAAAGTAAGCCAAGAATATCCTTTCGAAAGTTTAAGTATTTTAATAAATATGTGATAACTAGTAAAATTTTCCTAAGCCAGCTTGCTGGAGGCATTGAGGTATGCTATCTAAAGCAATGACCTGAATGTCATGCTTTGGGAGACTACACTTCCTCTCAACCCTGGAGCCATTGGGAAGGTTATCCGCTATGTATCCTACTTCCCTCACCTCCTACAACTTCAGAAAGACTTGAGTTAAGTCAAAGGTTTTTATTCTAAAAACAGAGGTTGCCGTTATCGAATGCAAGTCTTGAAATAACATTCCACCTGGATTTAAAAGTGCTCTTGATGCTGTAGCATGCCAATGTTAAGGTTTCTTAATTTCAATCTGAAAGAGCATCAGGCAAAAAAATGAGAGAATCCTAAGTGTCAAAAAAGCTATCAGAGAAAATTATGTGCATTTTATTCTCACTGCTTTTGAGGAAGTAAATCGCTGACAAATATATAGACATGGACTCCCGATCGTGTAAAATTCTCTCCATTGCTACTGAGAGTGAACAACACTAATGATTGCCTTTGTTTCCATGACTAAATGTCCAGAATTGAATCCATCTATGGTCTGTTGGAAGTAGAGACAATGAATAAGTTTCTCAAGAGGACTGGGTCTTGCTATCCACTAAACAACGCGGAAGAAGGACGGCCGCTTTACTTCTACTTACGTAAAAATCGGGACCAGAAGGTGTTTTTTAGGGGTAACAGAGAAGATTTGGGTAAAATATGCATTATTTTTTAATTTCTTAATTTTTATCTTACAAGCAAAATATTTGTTGTTGCGAAATGTGCCTTGAAGTTTTGGGTTGAATTCCCTATTAATGGAGAGACTCACTCAGCGAACGAAACCGAAGAGGGAATAGTGACACCCCTCCACCAACTTGTGCTTCAAAGTTACATAAATCTGGAAATCTTGTAGCACATTTTATATCTCTACCACTCTGACATCATCTTTATAGCCTTTTCTGTCACATGTCACCAAGTCGCTGACTACCAGAAGGAACTGACATTGAATTAGGTGAATTTGCAGGATGAGGATGGAAATCACGATGCATCTGGTTTGCATCCTACCTTATGCACCGTCGCCCCAAATGGTTTTGTAGGAATGGGACCTCCTTCATAATAAATAAACGCTGACATCAATTGTATACGAAAAGGGAATCTTGTATGTCTTCTAGTAGTTTCGAACAGGCAGAGCGCTTAGCCTTTACTGAGGAGAGCCCGATGACAAATTCCATCTGCGGTGTAACACACCCACTCACAAGTCATGCACAGCCTGGAATGTGGATGGCGTGGAGGTAACCAGGGTGTGTCGAAATCAAAAGCCACTTCCACTGACAATTGGTCAGTTGGCCAGACAATTATCAAGGCAAGAACGGCTCATTCTGTAATAGGTATAAAAAGAAAGAACGAATTGGTAGTTAGAAAGACTTACGTTTACTTCCTAATATACACCATTGCTGCCTTAGTTGACGGGAGTCTTGTGTGTACTGAAGAGTCCCTGGCATGGTAATTCCCTATTCATTTGCAAAGTATTTGGTAAGAAACCTCTGCAGCCATGAAACCGCGATAAACTCGATTTTGAAATTGGACAGGCTCAGATCACATCAGAGTTAATCGACCCTTATGCGGACTTAGAATGGGACCGTAGAAAGCAAATCCTCCACCGATGGACTGACGCACATCTGCACACTCACTTGCATTTGACGAGTCCGCTTGAGTTAAAAATGTCATCGCAGTACGTTATTTCCGAAAACCACCTGATATTTTCGGTTGTTATATATGTCTCCGTCATAGCTAATTCTTTTTGATTTTGAACCTTTTTTAAAAAGTAAGTTTTGGAACATCAAAATATGGAAATTTATAAATTAATGCGGCTCCGAAGCAAATCGCATTGAGCTGTAGAAACCCAGTGAAGCTTCACAAACAGTCATCAATTGGAACTAAACCCTGCATTCATCAAATCTACAAGATAGTTTGCAAATGACAGGTCGGATGACCTCTTGCTTTGACGGAGTGTAGGTTTGCTCCTCATTCAAGTCTGATGAATATTTCTAGAGCACCTACTATGGATTTCATGCCTGAGGGAAGGAAGACTGTAAAACAGGTTGGTATTACCTACGGCCTCCATTTTTATAGACTCCCCAGTCCTTATTTTTGTTAGTGACCTAGTCTGAATCATCTACTTCTTCCTTCGTTAAATAAAAGTGATCCACTTTCGTGATGCAACTGACACGTCTGACATTTCCCTACTATTTAGAAATGATATTTATTTCCTATAATATAACTAAAGCCCCTCTAGCAGATACTAAAGGTGCAACATCGAGAGTGACTAGGTTTTAAGACTGGGAATAGGGAACTATGCGGCAATCTCACAGTTCCTCATATTTATAATTCCAATAGGTCGTGTTTATACGCTCAAATCCGATGTCATGAAGCCGTAATTGACAATAATGCGACTTTTGCGCCCACAATGGTCATTTAGCGTTCTTCAAAGAGAAAACACTTTAGAGGGTTTCAATTGCATGGTGTGTTAAGTTGTGCTGCCGATGCCACTTTCCTAAAGCAGTGAAGATCCACGATGGCATCTCCTCAGTTTTGAAGGCACGGTGCACACTTAAATATCAGAATGGTCACTTCACTTTGCAGCGTCGAAGCCTCGGACTTTAATGATATTCAATTCTAAATCCATCCGCAAAAAAACTCCTTCCCGAATCTTTTTTCTATGATTGTTTAAAAAATTTTTTTTCATGCAGTCACTTGAGGAACAATAATTGGCGTCATGCTTACTAGAGAGAATCTACTTTTTCCCTGTACCTGCTTCAAGAAAATCTGCAATGAAGTGCATGCGTGATCGCCTCGCAAAATACTCCGTTGGTTGTTCCTTTCGTGGAAATTTTTAGCTTCAAAAATTCAGATCCAATTTACTAAAAAGTGTTGTACAAGTTAAGAAACTGTTAATTTTCGGCAGCGTACTTTCCATTAGGAGACAAGTAACTCACTTAGAGCTACAAAATGGTAATTTGCTTGGCATTTTAGGCCTTTGAAATGTATAACATGAGTAAAGTAAGCCTTCCCCGATAAAGGTCGTCAACCTGAAAATGCAGCTTAGATTTAGGCGGGGAATGCACCACTTAATAATTGAATGCCTTTATCTTTTCTCAGTTTTCGACTTAACAGAGATCAGATGATGACCTCGTGGTCATGGAAGCAACCTTGGAGGGTGAGAACGATAAAAACTTCCTCAAGCCGGTCTCCTCAATTCCATGGAGCAATCGACAATGCTTACTTGAAATGGAGGTTAAGCGCACAATTTGCAGTATTCTTGTCGTCTGATTTTGGTTGATTTTCTGGAAAAGTTTGACTTTGATTTGAATTATCCTAAGGCAGTCGGTTTTGTCTCACTGTCTGTGTTGAAACCTTAATCTCTGTACGTTTCCACTACGTTGGCTCACGTCTTGATTCCGGAGTAAAATGACACACCTAAGCCTCAATGCCTGTAGGGGACAAATCCTTGCCCCACCCCTTCGGATGCTTCTTCAGCTCAGTGCAGCATTCACATCGCACGTGTCTGCCAAAAATAGCCTCCCATGTCGGAATCCCTTGTGCTGCAAACATTCTCGAATAGGATTTGCACATAAATGATAGCGATAGAGGCACCACTACCACAGCAAGGTTCATCTCCTGTCTCACTTTACAATGGGTTATTTAAGTGCTTATTAGGCATTCAGAATTAGACATTCTACGTACCGGCTCAACTGTGGTGGGGGTAAATCTATAGACGCCTTGTTAGGGAAGGGAGTCTTTGACCCCGAGACCTTTAGCGACAGGCGCATGGCAACACACTGACCCTATTCGTGTTTGCAGTGTAACAGTGTATCATCACCAAGTGCCGTTGATCACGGAGCCTTCTAATAAGCATCCTTACTTTGACATTTTACGCCTTCATTTACGTGAAATATCCAGCCCCACCAGGAGCTTGCATGCGTGGGCACATCAGCACCCGCTGCCTGTCATCTGGATCCAATGCGTTTGCACTGTGATGGACTGGACTGACCCGCTATAGGTGCGCCAGGCATTGGTAGTACGCACACCAGAATATAACGATCATGTAGCATTACTTTTGTACTACCATTCTATAACCCCATTGTTAAAGATCTAAATTCGACCATAATATGTGTAGCCAAGTTCGTAGACCAGTTGGTGAATCAACGATAGGGCAGTTTGCTGCACTGCGGTTATGTTCATCATTATTTTGTTTGTTTAAAACCTTGTTTTCAATATTTTAGGCAATTATTTTAGCTCTAGTTATTAACATTCTTCAAGGTTATTTTGGAAAATAGGTTAGATCCATAGAAGCATAGACGCGGAATGAAAAGCTTATCATTTGTGAGTCGACAGGTCGGTAGACGTCTTCGGCATCGGTCAACAGTGAAATACATACCACAAAAACCTGATTTCCTAAGTAGTGAACCCTATAACCACCAAGGGCACACTTGAGCCAAGTGCGGAAGTTCCATTCACTTAGAGTGTTGGAATTACTGTTTCACCATTGCGTATGCTACTTAAATATGGAATAATGAGTAGTCTAGGTGTACGCTACTGCCTATTCCTTACTATTTTTTTCAAAAACAATCTAGCGACAACAGACAAAACGTTCCTAATAATGATTTTACTTTTGAAATTAGTTCTATATTTCAATAAGATAAGAATTGTTACAGAGACGTGAATATGATTGAGAGTGGTAGGAGACCATTCCGCAATCACTGAGCTACCGACAGCAGGATTACGTCACTTGGTAAAATATACTTGCGGAATTAAAAAGGGCAAGTCAAAATTGCCGAAATAGTATTTTTTTCGCCGAACATATTTGGTGAGCACTTACAATCACCCTTCTGCACTTTTACTGAAAAATCACTGTATGAAGCAGTGCCGCTTTTGCCTTTGTGTTGGGGTAAACTGAAGATGAAATTTTGCGAACTCGTATGCTTAGCATTTCCCAGTAATACATTCATTTAAATTATTCTGCCCAAATATGGATTTGAATACCTTACACAAAAGCCAAGAGACTGAAATCTCATGTGACTGTCATTTACAGCTCGCTGCAATGGCCACTTATAACTTGTAGTTTTTTCTTTTGCCCTGTGAAGCATCAATACGCCTCAGACAGTCAGTACGGTGCCTGTTTTGTGCTTGCCACCACTCCCCCTCACTCTAAAGACATTCACATTCATAAGGCTCATTGAACAGCCTGGATGTGATTCCAGCTGCTGGGTTTTTGCGACCTCAGCATGAAACAACTGCAAATCAATTGAAGTTGTAGAGCTTCCAACCGGATTCGTTGAGCAATCATTGTAGTTGAGCGCACCACCCAAATATAAGCTAGCAATTTTAAGTGAAATTGAATAAGTTCCCTTTTTCTATCATGACAAAAAATTGCCTGCAATTTTCATGCAATATAACTAGTGATTAAAATGGTGATGGAACAATCGGCTTGTACATACATCAACTGGGAAAGTAAAGTTATGGCGGAAGCTACACACGTGGGTCTGGAGTCTCGGATCTCGGAAATTACATTGCAGCCGCTTGCAGGTCTCAGTAAGCCCAAGCAATCACCAGTGAACTCTCCACTTTTCCTCCCTGCATTGCAGACCGTTTGACAGCTGACTGGCCGGCTGACCGACGAATTCGCAATGAGGGGTGACTTTATGTCCAAATCCTTTCGTAGC